AGTGTTTAGGGTTTAGGGTTTATTAGGGTTTAGGGTTTAGGGTTTAGGGTTTACTTTTGCTGAAGTCAACGACAATGGATCTATCAATAGGGTAATTACAGTTTTGTAGCCCCCCCCTAACAAGGTGAGCAGCAATAAGAAGAGAGAGGTTTTCGCAGTAACACATCAGCAGCAGAGCCACAAACCCTAAAAAAGATAGCAACTGAGACGCTAGCGCTCGACCTACACACACACACAACAAACCCTAAACCCTAAACCCTAAAGCCTCGAGGGTTTGGAGAAAATTGTGGGAAAAACGGGGGAAAAAGCGGATACGGGAGAGGGGTTAGGGTTTAGGGTTTAGGGTTTAGGGTTTAAGTCGCAAACCCTCATTCGATATACATCAACTACAAACCCTAAACCCTAATCATACAAACTCTAAACCCTAAACCCTAAAAAGGAAGCCTGCATTGGTAGCTAGCTAGCTAGCTAGCTAGCTACCACTCTAGCTAGCTACCGAGCCAGCTACCCAGCCAGCTACCTAGCTAGCTACCTAGCTAGATAGCTAGCTAGCTAGCTACCAATCTAGCTAGCTACCCAGCCAGCTACCTAGCTAGCTAGCTAGCTACCCATCTAGCTAGCTACCCAGCCAGCTACCCAGCCAGCTACCTAGCTAGCTACCTAGCTAGCTAGCTAGCTAGCTAGCTAGCTGTATAAAGCGTACCTAGATATTTGGAGATCCTGGAAGCAACAGAAATAAAGAAAACAACAGAAGCACCATAAGCAACAGCAAGAAGAGACAGCTGAATCGGAGACAGTTTATATTTAGAAGCAAAAAATAAAGAAAAAAATTTTACTGTCATCCCCGCACCCATTGACCGTACTACGTCGGCTGTACACACTATAAACGGAACGCTCCTGCATATACACACACACACATAAACCCTAAACCCTAGTAAACCCTAAACCCTAGTAAACCCTAAACCCTAGTAAAAAATAAACAATATAAAGCGACGGTTATACACGCACAAATAGAACGAAATACGTCTGCTGTACACACTATAAACGGAACGCTCCTGCTTATACACACACATAAACCCTAAACCCTAATAAACCCTAATAAACCCTAACAAGTATTAGTAAACCCTAATAAACCCTAAACCCTAAACCCTCGCGGTATATATAGTGTTTTACTTGTAGAGGCAGGGGAGGCTAGCTAGCTGTTGATCATTAGCAGCAATAACTGCTGCTCCTTCTGTCTCCTCATCATATATCTCTTCTGCTGCTGCTGCTGCAGTCCTGCTGCTGCTGCTGCTGCTGCTGCTGCTGCTGCTGCTGCTGCTGTTGTGAGCAGCAGCAGCAGCAGCAGCATCGGGCTGTACTCTGCTTCTTCCTCTACCCTGAAAATATCAACACAAAAATTTTGTTTAATTAAAAAACAAAATATAATGAGGTGTACAG